GCCAGATTTGTTACCAGCCCACGGTCTCCTCCAAATGAGCACCGTGGCCTCTGTTTAATCCCTCCTGAACGATCGTGTAATTACAGAGGGCTTTTCACAAGCAGGTTCCTTGAAGAGGAGCCAAAGGGCAGAGCAGAGAATCTGTTTTCTGTCTTGCCTGTCCTGGCAGGACGGTGTTCAGGGGCTTTGGCTGAGGACAAAATGTCTGGAGATGTGGGAAACACCCCTGCAACGACCAGGGTCCTGCCTGGGGTGCTGAAGACACCACACCTCGGACCTCAGCTCCACCTTTACTAGCACTCCATCTAAGCAGGGGCACTTCCACATGCAGATGCTTGTGGTGTATCCCTGTATCTTCTGGATGCCACAGGAATTTTGGCCCATGACCCAGTGGCCTGTTGTAGGAGCTGCTTGGCCTGATCTTTCACTTTGGCCTGTGTGGGGGAGGTTTGATGCTTCCAGTCCTTGACTGTCCCATCAGCTAGAGGGATCCCTGCAGCCCTTGAGGGCCCATACAGGGGGAAAGCAGAGCAGTGGCTTTCAGTGACACTCAGGAGCTCCTTCTAAAAAGCCAATAATTACAACAAGTCAAACATGAAGCTTAGGTCAACTCAGATTTACTGTAACAATTATTGCTGCCTTTCTGTGATGCAGCTGGGAGATCGTGTCAGTTCTGGGTCAATGATGAGCCTTAGCAGGGATGGGGTTTCCATCCCATGGAAGAATGGGATGATGGATGCTTCCAAGGAGCCTGGGGGAAGGTGGTCTGTGGTGTGGCAGTGTGCCTTTGGGGGTGCCATGCATATAAACACCACCTGGCACCTACCACCTCTGGTTTTTAAAGTCTCTTTAGCAGTAAAGAGACCTGGATTGTCACCCAACAGAAAGGGAACTAAGCCCTGAGGACCAGAATGACCTAGTCCTGTCCCTCAGTGCCTCTGCTTCACCAACACACAGCCCAAAGGGATGGCAATGCTGCAGCACTCAGGCTTAGTGACTACTCAAGTACTTGGGGTTTTTATTCCAGCCCAACAAGCTGGAAGGATTCCTGGGACACAGGAATGGTTCCTCATTTCCACCCTGGCTTCTCAAAGCACCTGCAGCAGATGCTGCTGCCTCCACTGCTTTGGAATGAGAGCTTACCAGTGCACCAGTGGCTGAGGTATGTCCCTGTTCCTATCCTGTCTGCTTAAACTGTGAGGTGAGAGAGTTGTCCTCTGCATGGGTTTCTGCCCCACCAACATTGGAGCAGAGTGCTTCGTGCCCAGGGCCTGCTCTTCATTCCCCTCTGTGCTGCAGAGCCTGGCAGCTTTCAGGCTCTGTGATGCCATCTTGGGTCCTGCTTCCCTCTCACTTCAGGCTTGGGGAACTTTTTTTTCCACACCACTCCTTTCACACAGCCTTCATCTGTGTTTGACCTGCTTACCAGTTTTGTAGAATTGACTGAAAACAAGAGGAGAGAGATGATGTATCTGAGGAGTGGTGGCTCATAATTAAACCCTTCTGCAGAACAGTGGACAGCTTGAGAAGCAGATGAAGGCTCTGGCTGGCAGGTGAGCTCTGTGTCTGCACTTGGGTGCCTGAGATACATGACAGCCTTGTCTACACATTTCATCACAGAATCATGGAATGGTTTGGGCTGGAAGGACCTTTCAAGGTCATCCGGTCCAACCCCCCTGCACTGAGCAGGGACATCCCCAGCTAGAGCAGGTTGCTCAGAGCCCCATCCAACCTCACCTGGGATGGTTCCAGGGATGGGGCAGTGACCACCTCTCTGGGCAGCCTGGGCCAGGGGCTCAGCACCCTCAGTGTAAGAAACATCTTCCTTCTCTCTAGGCTAAACCTCCCTCTTTTAATTTAAATCCACCACCCCTTGTCCTGTCACAACAGGCTCTGCTAAAAATTCTGTCCCCAGCTTTCTTCCAGGTCCCTGGCAGTCCTGGCAGCCCCCAGCAGGTCTCCCCAGCTGGAGCCTTCTCCTCTCAGCTGCCCCAGCCCAACTCTCTCCTGCTGGGCTCCCCGCCGAGGGGGTC